TCCGCCCCCGGGTCTGCCCATTTTTCCTCCCAGATGGTTCTTCCCACTTTTTGTTTTCCTCCCAGTTGGTGTGCTCTCAGGCGATAAAACTGAATAGAAATTAAGAAGAAGTGGAACGAATTCTATTTAATCATCCGAAATCAATCGGATTATCATAAAAACAATGATAATAATGATAATAGCAAAAGTTGCCTTGATAGACAATTGAAATTTCTGTGCCAGCTGATGTTTCCTCGTAATCTCAGAATATCGCTCTCGGGAGAATGCAGCCAGAGTAAATTTCGACGGGAACCAGACATTTAATTTTTTCTTCAATGAAGACTTCATCTTATTAAACCACCCAAATGAACGGTTTGGATTCTGCATGTTTTCCACCAACTGAAATTTGAAACATGTTTATTAGTACTTGTACTGTACAAGAGTATTCACCTGAACATATCCCTCCCATTCCATTTTATTCATCATATTCGTATCGTTCGTTCTCACTTCAGAATACTGTTGAACTAAACTCTTCAAGCCGTCTTCTCCTGTTTCCTCCAGAATTTCTTGCAGCACTAGACAATCTTCGAATCCACAGTTGGCACCTTGTCCTTGAAAAGGGAGCATTGCATGAGCAGCATCACCCATCAAGAGCAATTTGTCGAAGAATCCATGTCTCGAGCATTGAACACTTATAATTGCCTGGGGTTTGTAACGAGAAAACGTATAGAAGATGTGTCTTCTGTAATTATTGTTTTTCTCGAATGACAACTCAAATTGTATCCACTTACTCCCCAATGATACTGTAAATAAGGGAGAAATGTTTTTGAAAAAATAGAACAGAATTTTCTGGAGTTGAACAGTTTTCAGCAAAAACGGTAAAGTTAGCGAACAAAGAGACTGAAACATAAATAACAGTTAGCCAATAAAAAGGACGTATCATCTAACCAGTCAAAGTTCGGTCTCGATTCACCAATGCAACGAGAATAACACCTTTTCTTCTCCATGAGTAATGAATTCCTAGTTTTAATTCAGAGACATTCTCAATTGGAACACTCAAGTCCATATATCCAATATCACAATACTTTTGACTGAAATTGAATTGGGGAGTTCTCAATAAACTTCTCCTAATCGTTGAGTGTGCTCCATCACATACCAAGATCAGATCACCCTCTACAGTAATCTGAGAACCATCTGGAGACTCTACTAAAAGTTTTTCACATTCCACATCATATTTTGTGGCTTTATGACCAAATCTGAATCTGAAAAGTGATAGGTTCCTAAAAATTTTGATAACGAAATATACTGACTTCACATTACTGTAACTCTCTGCCTTTTTTATAAGTAGTTTGCTGAGTTTCTGGCGATTGATAGTAAGAATGAACTGAACATAATAAAAGGTCGAATTTTCTTAATCCTAAGCTCAAACTCACATCTCCTTCTTTTAGTAAAAGCAACTTTTCTAAAACACCTTCTTCATCTTCCAGGTGGTTTATCTTTTGTTTAATTGGAACTCCCATTTTGATAACGTCTTCTAAGATACCAATATGTTTCAAAGTCTCCATAGCTCTGAACCCCAACGCCAAGTTGAAGCTCCTCCCCCTTTGCAGAGCATTGCCACGTGGATCAGAGCGGGATTCGAAGACCGTCACTCTCCATCCTTCTCTACCGAACAAGCACGCATTCACAGATCCTACAAGACCTCCACCAGCGATCAAGACAGACGGCATACTTTGGGAAAGACGATGAGTTTTGACAGATTTTCTATCGAGCTTTGAAGCCTGATCTGATTTGAAACTGATTGTGATGATGACGGCGATGCAGATGATGACAAATCATCGAAACACAAAAAAATATCTCTTGAGCAATTTTTTATGGACATCGTCTTTACACGTTAACATAGAAAAAACACTAACATAAAACTCTCATTATAATCCAAGTCTACCGCGATTTGAATATATGCCAATTGCAGCACCAATCAGTGCCAATGTGGATGTGGTTTTCCATAGATTGGATAGAATTCTATCTTGTTTTCTTCTTCTGTCAACCACTTCTGAATAAGGAATACGTGTGAATGTCACCATTGAGTATAAAGGAATCCAGCTTTTTGGGAAGATTGCGTTCATGAATCCATCGAATTTTTTTCGTAGTTTGTAGGAGTTTTTGTTGACAAGATCCTTCAGCTCTTCGTAATTGTACATGGCAAGATCGTTGATGGTGTGTGCATCATTTACACGCCTTTCAGAATACACTTGAACAGCCGATGCTGAAAATACAGAAAGTGAAGAATCAGGGTTCGAGGAAAATTGAAAGTCTTATGTGAGGTACACACTATACCGTAACACCTGTAATAGAAAACCCCTTACTTTTAACTTTGAGCCAACTTTTATCTGTTTCCTGTCAAATCTATTACAAAGATGTCAACTGACAAAATACGGTTGATATTATTATAAGAACTTTGTCAGTTTATTACTTTTTGATATCTTGCATAGGAATTGAGATGATTGAGCTCAAACTCTCAAACTTAACAGTGTGGGAGCCCTTCTATTACAGGTGATTGAAAATAACCATTTAGCAATCTTATGATAACCTACCAATATCATTGTTTTGTTCCTCAAGTGTCTCACTGAACACGAGACAATCTTCGAACCCCTGAAAAAAGATAAATCATGAATTCTTCTGATGTTCACTAATCAACTGACGCAATTCATTCCCTGACCATAAAATGGAACCATTGCATGCGCAGCATCTCCCATCAGAACCAGATTGTTGAAGAATGAATGAGGTGAACATTTGATAGAAACGAGTGATTGAGGTTTCACTCTGTTGAAGGTATCAGCGATATGTTCTCTGCAATTCAATCTTGCAGTTTTTGCTTTGTAATTAATCTTATCTTACTTTCCAAGAAGCAAGTACGCGTCTGGAAAGTTCTCTTCAAAGAAAGATAACACCTCTTCTGTAGTTGACATATGTTTCTCAAATTCGGTAAAAGGCGCGAATATAGTCACTGAAAAGGTCAAATTCTCTTATCACGTCAATGATTTCAAAGGAAAATACCGGTGAAAGTCTTGTCCCGGTTTGCCAATGCAATCAGAGTGAAATGACCTCTTGGCCACAAATGGAACACATTTTCCTCAAAAGCGAACTCGTTGTTGTTGGCCATAATATTCAATTCGACGTACCCATGCTCGATGTATTCTTGGGAGAAGTCGAATCTTCAATTATTTTTTTAAAAGACGTCCTATTTTTGATACCGACCTTGGAATAGTCATCAGACTTCTACGAACCGCAGAGTAGGCTCCGTCACAAGCAATGATGAGATCGGCTTCGACATGGAACTCTTCGTGTTCCGCTCTAAAAACGAATAGAATAAACAAATTGACTTTTTATGAGACTCACGGTGGAGATTTGGTTCCAAAAGTTGGTATCCTGGATGGTTGAGATGTACATTGGACTACCAACTGTTTTTTGTCATAATCTACACTTTTAACTTTGTGTTCAAAAAAGAATTTGACATTTGGTGACTTTTCAGCTTGGGTTATCATAACTTCATTTAGATGACGACGGTTGATTGAAACAATGTGCTGAAATCCTTTATCTTTTGATTTGATTCTAATAAATTCTTACCTCTCCTGGTTTACCATACGGTTGCCTACTGTACGTCTTTCCGTCCTTATTGTGCACAAGTCTTGCATAGAGAGGAACTCCTTGATTCACAATGTATTCTTTGAGTCCAACAGCTTCAAGGGCTGATTTCCCTCTTTGACTCAATGCCAAGTTGATACTTCTTCCTTGAACATGCTTCATGGTTCGGATATCTTTACGGAATTCGTAAACTGATACATCCCATCCTTTTTGAGCGAAGAAGCATGCGTTGAGTGCTCCGACTAGACCTGCTCCAGCTATCGCAACTGAAGGCATCTGAAACTAGAACTTTTTGGAAGATATGATAGGAGGAATTGAAGCGAAGTTGTTCAGGAGAAAGTAAAATTGTCACTGTAGACATGTAGGAAAACTTTGGTAATACACCTCAATATCAAAACAACAGAATAGTCCTAAAAGAGAACATGTGAACTTGAAGGGATACAAAAAGTGTTGGAAATCAAATGATGAAAACAATTGTATGTCAGATGAGAAGATACCGTCAACACGTGGCCCCAACAGCGACGAAAGACTGACTGCGCGCTTTCGGAATCGGCAAGTTGTCTTTTGATGAAGGCCATGCAAAAAACAGATAAAAAATATATCTGGTCTCTGATTTCGATTTTCAACGCTATTTAGAATCTTTTGCTTTGAAAAAAGTGATACAACAGTTTTGCAGCCACTTTGTACCAGGTTCGATTTTCGTATTCTACGTGAGAAAATGGAGTCATCATGGAAAGAATCAGAAGAAGAAGAAGACGGAAGAATAGGTAGCGTGCCGAAAAAGAAACATGGAATAGAGAAGAGAACAGTTCGGAAGGTGCCAAAATAACAAAGGAACATTTTTGAACTATTGTTTGCCTTCCAGACAAACATCGACAACATTCATCAGTTTTTACGGTTAGATGTTTTGGAAGAGCTTTTACGGAAAAATTTACAAGAAAGTTTTGTATGCCAAAAAGTGGAACTGCATCTGACTATTGAAGAAAAACTATTTTATCAATAATATAGAGTCTCGAAACAAAACACAAATATCACAATGAACTATTATCGGAGAACCGCATGACCTTCTTGAAACCCGAATCTCTCATCCCTTTTCTAACAATCAAATGTGTTCCTATCATACGTTCCGTTCGCCTTCATTTGCATTTCTCGGAACTGAAATTTAATTCTTCAGTGAAAATACATCTTTCATGTGGTACCTGGGGAAACGAAGTCAACCAAGCCGCATCGGGCGTTTCACCGGTTACATTCCTTTTTATCATCTCTCGCATACAAGCAATTGTTCCAAAATCAAAAGTTTCCAACACCTTGTTTGCTGAAAAGAACAACAACTAAATGATCTTAGAAGGAAAATAGAGTGTACCTATTGCCTTCCGACTCTTGAACAGCTCGTTCATATACTCAACACCCAATATACAGATTCCATGCCTTTTCCATTTTGAATGGCACTGCTTGTCAAACCCATTTGGTCCTGTCCAGTCCCAATGAGTCAGTCTCGTGAGAATATCATTATGATTTTGTGTACAGTTCGATTCCATCTGGCCATCCAATCCCAAATAGTTCTCATAAAGTGTTTGAACGAGCATTTCATCAACTCCGTAGTAGTCGTTATCATCGAATAATTTGATGATTACTTCCATATTGAGTTTATCAAACATTGATTTCACAAATACTTTGGAAATGATTACTTCGTTCAAGCTCTTCCGAACTCTCATCGGTGTATGAAGAATCTTATCAGGAACACCAGTTTCTGGAAATTGGAAAAGTTGATTTAAAACTAATTATACCTACCATTTTTGAAAAGTTTCATTCCAGCTGGTGTCCAATCGGCCTTTGTGTTATATCTATAGCTGAATCCGAAATCGAATCCCATGATGCTGGTGTAATTGAGAAGCTCACTGATATCCGACAGTTGATAAGGGGTTTTGATGACCAAATCAAAATTCTCAAATAAGTGATCATGGATTCAAATTAAAAACGTTTTAGCGTACTTGCAGAATAATGGCATGATCCCATTTTCTATCCAGAATAGTTTGGAGACAGTCAAAATGCGCAGGATCTTGTCCATGACCTCCACTATTCAACATGTATTCTTTCTCCAGAACAATCACATTTTCAAAGCAATCACTCATATTTCTGACCGAATTCTTCAGTTTATCACTACTTTTTGCATCCATAATAAAGCAAAATGTGTTATCCGGATGATAAGATAACGATAAAAGAGCTTCTTGAAGCTCATAGATCTTGTAAATAGTTCTGACAAATGCAATTGGCCGTTTCAGGGGTGAGAATGGAGGCATATCTCCGTAAACTCGTTGTCTGATGGATGGACAATCCATTCGTAATTCGAAAAGACGCTCTTGATCGAGTTTCATTCGTCCATTATTCACATACAACTCAATCGTATCCTTATTTCCTTTTATCATTTCAGAACAGTTCAACAATCGACTCTCCTCTCTGAAATAAATAAATTCATCCAATTACAAAAAAATCAACAATATATTAAAAAAAAAAATAATTTGTGAAAGGAAAACATGGAAAACTAACTCTCAGTTACAATTCAAAACTCACTTTGTGAAGTAATAATCCATCCATTGAGTGATATTTCTCTTTGAATTTGTGGTTATATTATTATCGAGTTGTTGCAGTATGATAACGTTTTCTGATGTTACTCTTATTGGTCCCTGAAAATGTTTGTTCCTCTTATTCATCCATTTCTTATAATACTTACCAGCGGAGATTGAACAAATGTGAAGAATATCATAAATGCTAAAAAGCCAAAACAAAGTAAAAATAAAATGAAAGGGGAACACACAGAATCGAATTTCGGGTTCTGAAGTTGCTAATGGGGTCTAATTTTAAATTGGCTAAATCTTACCGAATAATCATCTGTTTCTGAATTTTGATTCTGTAACCGTTTGTATCGTATTCCAGGCATATCTGAAAGTACAATCAAGTAAACGTTGATTCCGCACCTGTGCCACGAACGCATTCCAGTTAACCGGGGGCACAAAGTAGTTGACCCAGGAAAGTTCAAAGAACTTTTTATGTATAAGAAAAACTTAATCATTCACCACAAAGTATTATCTGCCACCAGCAAAGACATACCTCTTTGAAGTTTTTATTGAAGGCTTAGTTTAAATGCTTTTCCTGTCCTTATATTAGAAACCTGTAATAAAGTTTTATTTGGAATGGTCGCGAACCAGGAAATTGGAGGATTCAATGAGAAATTATCTCTTTGTGCAAATATATATAGTATGGCTCTCCAGAAAAAGATAACCTTTCATTTAATCTGATAAAATGTTATTAGCGATGAGGAAAGGGAAACAATCGATTTGAGTTGTACAACGAATCTCATTTGCATATACATATACATATGAAACGGTTGGAATTTGAAGAATTTTTTTCGCATGTATAGAAACACCTCGAATTGATGATTTCATGTACCATGTAGCATTTATTTCAGTTTCACCAGATGTCTGAATTTTCTGTACAAAAATTATGAATATTCCAGAAATTAGTCAAAGTTATAGAAAATGTTTATTTGATGGATCTGAAAATGATCTTGAACAGAAAAATAGGTGGACAAAATAAAATTGGACAGTGTGCACATTTGGGACAGTAGTAGTAGTTTGCTCAAATCCGGGTACAACCAATCTTCCTGCATTTTGAACTTTTTGATGCTCTGTGCCTTCTTTTCTTCTACAGGTACAGAATCGGTTTGTCTCCCGATTTCGTACTTTTTTAAAGGAAAAAGTGGTCACGCCAAATTCAAGTATTATTTGAATTGTGCCATGAGGTACAAAATCGGTAGGAAAACCGATTCTGTACCTAGTGAAACAATTCAAATTTTCTCTGATTTCACGTGTCTTTTTGTGGATTTTGAAACATTACTCATGAAATCCGATTTTGAACCAATTTTTTGATCAACACTAACTTTCTACAATACGCTTATTTGGGTGAGAGTGATATCT